TCATATATTGCAACTCCCATTGCAACTGTTTTTAAATTATCTTCAGCAAAATTTTGCTTTCGTGTAATATTAATTGTTTGACAATGTCTGCATTCTGTTGAAGTGCCTTTCTTTGGAAGGAGCACAGAGAGATCTCTTTCAAATAGCTGCTGTGCACATTTCCTGGCATAGACTCGTGTGTGGTTCCAGTGGTGCATCAACTTGTTGAAACAGTTCAGGGGGGATTCCATCAATTCTGGGAGTCTTGTCTTTTGCAAATACCTTTGGTGCAGCTTGGAATTCCTCTTTTAATACGATTGGTTCTTAATCATATGCTGCCTCTTGAAATGACAAAATGTACCAAAAAGTTCTTTTGCCCATAGGATTTTTCAATATTGCTACTCAAGGCTTTCATTACACTGCTTCCCTTTGTCTTCTTGCACTTTGCTTTGAGCTCAGCTCTCTGCACTTCATCGATCTTCTTTGTGACTATTTTACTAATAAGATAGTTGACACATAAAGAGATGAAGTAACTTCTCCAAAGTCACATAGTGACACCAGGGCTTGAGTCAGGAAACTACTAAACCATATTTTACATAATTGGTTATTTTAGTATTGAAAAGAGGCCATTAATAACCCACCCTAAAAGAAAAGAATGTTATAATTATGTTTTAAAAAATCCTCATGTAGGCAAAATAACATATGCTTTTAAAATATGAATAATGTAGTCCTTGGTGGTTTCATCGACCTTCTAATGTTATAATGTTGTTACACATTTATACTAAAATTTTATATTTTTTTCATATAAAATGAAGAGATTTTCAAGGCAGTGATATAGGGAAAATATTTAACACAATGTCTCTAAAACAAACTCAGACAAAATAGATTGAGCCTACATATCAGATTCCTTAATAGGTTTTCAGGATGAATGAATGAGGTAGGGTTAAATTCCAGGATGAACCAACATGCACGATCACAACAGGATGCTATCTGAGAGCTCTCACTTTCACAGAAGATTATAAAGTAATTGTTCGGCCATTTCTTACCAAACGATACCCCATGGTCTTGCAACTGCTTGTCATGCCTCTTGGATAAATTGTGGATATTCTTTGCATAGTTTTCCAAAGCTTTTGCGTAGTCTTGAATGTTGAAAGGAATGATTCTCGACTCTGCAAGCTCATATGCCAGTGTTCCTCGTAACTGAGCCACAGACAGCAGTTTCTTAAAGGTTGAGTCATAGAATCTCTCTACCAATTCAAACGTGTCATAAATCGTGTGGTAGACTGGGTAGCTACTGTATTTATCTGTTTTCTTTTAAAAAGAAAAAAAAGAAAGCACATACAAAAATTAACTATTCAATTTATATTTAACTGACTAAAAATGATTACAGAAAAAGTACAGCCAAATAGAATCTTAGCTTTCATCATGAAGAAACAATAAAAAAGAAATTAATATGGATCCAAAATGTACGACTAACTGTTCACAGATTTGAAACTTTATCATCATTCATTTTATAATTCATGTAATCCAGGAAATATTATGTTCATCCAAAATAATGCATGCTCAAAATTGAAACCTCCTTTATATATTTCTGATACCCAAAATTAAAAATGCATATCATTTGTATCTAAGTGCAGTACAAAATTATCAACTGATTGGGAATAAAGGTTCTTGGTAGCTAAATACAGGTAAAGATTCTGCCTTTAAGCACTATCACATAATTATAATCATTTCCCTTATACATCTACCCAATTCACTACACTTTTCAAGCAGTAAATATCGAAGTGCCACTTAAGCTTTATTCTGTAGAGTACTCTGCGTGAACATAACTTATGACATGGACAGTCCTGTGTAAGTGTTTCGAGTTCTTAAGTCTACATTTCCTAATTTCAGTTTTACTTTCTACTACCTTGCTATAAAGCTATCGCTCCTCTTATCTTGAGCATCACTCTCCCTATATAAGTGCCTCTCCTTCTAGCCAATATTCTAAAACTAATTTACACTTAGAAATGAGGCAACTTTGTTCTGATTGATGACAGAGAATAAAAGTGAATAAGCCTTAAAGAAGATTTAACTTATACTTTTTAACGTGTAATGGTTGTTATTATAAACTTTATGCATGTATTTTGGGTATTCTGAAGCTGGTTTTATTTATGTCTTTGTTCATAGCTGTTTTCTGCATAGTCAAACTTTCAACTGATGTATAGTCTGGGCAAGCAAGACAGTAAGTACATCACCATGGAAGGGTGAAAGTGGAAATCCGTGACACCAGTGAGAAATCTCCATCTATTGATAGCCATGTATTGGAGATTCTTCAATTTGGTATTTGATAAAGATGAAATGGTAAAGGTCAAGTATATCAAAGTACTTTCATGTCCTTCTGATGTCTGAGTGATCATGGTGTAAATAGAAAAGAGGCCCAAATTTAATAGTAAGAGAGACTTGTCTTATTCTCCATCTCTGAGCCCTGACTCAGAAAGGAGGCCAGACTCGGAATGGGAAAGGGACTCCCAACAATAGAAAATCTGAGCTCAGTGTTTTCCTTAATTCTAATATGATCTCGAACTGCACATTTTCCTCAGAAAAGGCACAACGGAGTCTACAAGACTGGAGAATGAGTTATTCCAACAAAACCCGCTTCAGGAAAAGGATGTGAAGTACTGGATACTGACACCAGCTATTCAATACCTGGCCATGCTCCACGAACTACCTACCACGTCACTTAATATCTCAACTGGCTAAAATTTCACCAAGAAACCCACAGTGCTTCCTAGTCGATCAACAAATGGATTTCATGAAGCCCTTTTCTACCGTGGGAATTCTTTCCAAGCTAGGTGTCAAACCTGGTATCTGGAGCCAAACAACTCAATGACAGAACTTCTCATCAAATAAATATGGATGACATGCTGTGGATTCAAAAATGTAATACAGCTTACCCTGTTTTTAGTGTAACGAGCTCTGCCTGAGGTAATTCCAAGTCTCTGGAAATAAGCTTCAAAATCACTCCCAGAGCCCAGTTTGTTGATCCTAAATGTGCAATATAAATAAGTGGATAGATAAATAAATGCATGCATATTAAACAAGCAAACTATATATACATACATACAATGCTTAAATAAAGTGAATGCCATGCATGTAAGGGGAGAAGACAAATAGGCCTGGCCTCAGAATAACGAGAAACTACAGGGGACACATACAAGGGCTAGGAAAAGGTATGCCTCCTTCAAGACACTTGCTTTTCATGTGTGGGAAAATTGCTTTGATAAGTATGTAAATCTTCACTGACTACAACCACCAGGGCCAGCAAAGATGACTGCCTAGTCAGGATAGCCTCATCTATATTTTCAGCACATTTTTGGAATTTGTTTAGAGGGGAAAATAATAAATGGACTATCTAGCTCTGCTTTCAAAGAACTCATAGTCTAGTAACAAAATTTGCAGTGAGGCCATCTATATTTAAGATCATGAAGACTCTAAACCTGGCTTATTTCATTTCAGGAATAAATTAATATGTATATGTACAAATGAGTGCATTATTCTTTGCAAATAATTAAGAAACAAGAGACATATAAAAAGGGGCTTCAAAAACTTGAAGTAGCAATTTCATTCTCTTTTGATTCAACTTTCACATGAACTTTTTGAAGCACCCTCATATATACATAACTCACTTCCATTGACTAAATTCTAACTCACAGAGACCCCTATAGGACAGAGTAGAACTGCCCCTTATATACCAACATAATATAATTAAATGATCTGGAATACTTTGTGATATTCTGTTAAGTCAATAAGGCAAAATATAAATTTCTTTCTATATGCATGATAAACAACTATATATTTCTAAAATATATTTATTTTAGAGGTTAAGACTTAGCTGTTTTTAAAAATGTTTTCTACTTAACAATATTTTAGAATAAACATGTATTACTTAGGGAAATGGAAAACACATTTAAATTTTCAAAGTACTGATCTGGGATATATAAGTTATAAACTGCTACCGTGATCTGCTGATATTAGAAATAATAATACTGCACTAGAAAAGCAGTAAACATAAAATAAAATAAGTTCTGTAGTATGAATGAGAAGAGGTAAAAACAAATCTCTGTATAAATGAAATCCAAAGGGGTTACAGCTAAAAACTCATTATGGTAGTTATTGATGATGCTTTGTAGTACATTTTGAAGCAAACAATTTATCATCTGTTTTTTACTTCATTATCATTTTTATGAAGGTATTTAATACATAACAGAATAAAATGCTTTGTAAGAATGCAAAGCAACGACTAATGTACAAAGTCATCTTGATTAAAATATTAAAAATTAGATTTATCTGCTGTGGGAAAGATGAAGCTGTGTACTTCTGCAAAGATTTAAATCTTGGAAAACCAAAGGGATGGTTTTACACCACCAGCCATTATGAGAGGGAAAGATGGAGCTGACGGAGCTTTATACTACTGTGAAGAGTTCCAATGTCAGAAACTCACAGGGCAGCTCTACCCTGTTCTGTGAGTCGGCATTGCCTTGATAGCAATGAGTTTGGTTTTTCTGGTATAAAGTCACTATGAGTTGACATCGACTCGTGGCAGTGGGTTATTATTATTATTATCATTAAGCTCTATTGGATAAGCATTGGACTGCTAACTTCAAGGTTAGAAGTTCAAATCCACCAGCTAGTCTAAGGGATAAAGAAAAAGTTATCTGCTCCTATAAAGATTTATAAGCCCTGTAAAGGGGTTCTACTGCTCTGAATTGAAATCAACTCAATGGCAGTGTTTTTGGTTTTTGGTTTTGGCATTACAGGTTAAGAGATTCAACTCTGTTGATTAATCAGTAAAATAAAAGGGACCCCTTGGGATAATCTTTTCTCTACCCAAATTGTTGATATCTAGAAAGACAAAGGGCAAAGAATTCAGAATGGGTCCAAAATAGAAAAGATGTACATAGGAAATTTACCTAGGGACATTTCCATTTTCAGGTGAAGGGTCCTTTTTCAACCAGCTTTCATAAAGAGACTGACCTTCAAAACCATCATCAGGGCTGGAGATCTGGAAAAGACGAATCAAGTATTGGGAATTAGAGCAGAAGCAACAAAAGTTATGCTAATATAAAATCATGCATTTAGTTGTCATCACATCATCAACTTCTACCTCATTCTGTATGCATATCATGTTCATTTAAAAAAATCTATTTTAAAATAGAAAAAAATTAATTTTAAAAATCTCACATTCTTGTTTATTTGTGATGTTTCCATTTTAGTGATCTTGCCATGAATCTCCATGAGTCTAAGATGTAATTTTCTGCTTATTTTGGCAAACTTCATTTGTGTGTGTGTGTGTGCTCTGACTGTATAGTCAGAGGAGTTGGAAGACTCATAGTGACCCTATCAGGCAAAGTAGAACTGTTTCATAGAATTTCCATCATGTCCTGGTGGTGTTTTGGGTTAGGCACTGGGCTATTAACCTCCAGGTGGGTGGTTCGAAACCACCAGCTACTTCTGCAGGAGAAAGATGAGACTGCCTGCTTCTATAAAGATTTGGAATCCCTATAAAGAGTTGCTAAGGCGTTCTGGTGGCATAGTAGTTAGGTGTTTGGCTGCCAACCTCACGGTCAGTAGTTCAAAACCACCAACCCTTCAGAAGGAAAAATATCAGGCTTTCTACTCCTGTATAGAGTTACAGTCTCAGAAACTCACGGAGCAGTTCTACACTGCTATGTGTAAGGTCACTATGAGTGGGAATCAGTCAATGGCAGCAAGTTTGTTTGGGGTTTTATATAGGGTCACTAAGAGTTGGAATTGACTTGACAGTAGTGGCTTTGATTAATCTTTACAGAAGTGAGGGTCACAACTTTCTCTAATGTAGTGGCAGTGGATCAAACCACCAATTTTCCCGTTAGCAGCAGAGCACTTATCCACAGGAAAGATAAGGGGCCTGTCATTTGAGAGAATCAATCTTTAAAGATAACTGTCAATTGAAAGGGAGGGGCAAAATTAGAGGGAGAGTTGAAGTTTATGAAGGAAAAGAAAAAATTCAATCTGTCCCCTATTATAAATTCCATTTCAGGGAACTAATTAAATATAACAACGGTATTAGATGAGCCAGATACATAGTTAATCCATCAGAGATTCACCATGCTTTAGATTTGGCAGGATTGTTTTATAGCAATTACATTTAATATTAATAAAGTAAGCAAGCATGTATTTTTTTTCCTTGAAATTCCACCTTAGGCTTTGCTACTAAATAATCTGTCTGACAGATTGATAGGAGAGTGCGCTTTCTAATGCATAAAACAACATATAAAACAGCTGCATTAAGAGTTCCTTAATGACGCCCATCAGCAGATTTCTGGACACCTTGGCCTAGTAGTCAGGTTTCATCTCTTATGATTTCTCTACCAACACTATATTTTTAAGTCACATTGAAATAAATCATGTTCTTCCATATCTCCTTATCTCTCTCAAGTACTGTGCCCTCTGCTGAGAATGCCTACTCTCTGCCTCTCATGTTTCCCTGCATTTGATAGTCCAAGCATTAAAACCTCCTCCTATGCACCCCACCTTCCTCCAACCTTCTCCATACTTCTCTCCATTCCATGATTGCTCTCTGCATTCGATAGTCTCTAGTACAGATATCTAGATTCTAAAGTCATTGGATTCAGTTACCTTAAACTATTTTTGCTGCTATATTTATAGTGCCTGGCATAGAGGAACTACATACTAAATAAATATTTGTTGAGTAAATGAGTGGCAAAATCTCTCTTTGAACCCAGCACTTTAAAATTCCAGCTTAGTGTTCTTTCTGCTATACCAAATTCCTCTCCCACGTGAAAATGATGTACTCTACACAGTACACCTATGTGCATGATTGCTAGCAAGAAGGTTCACTGGAACACTAACATTGACACTACATTCTTCATGACAACGTCACACTAATAATACAAGCAAGAACTTGCTAATTACACAAACCTGATATATTCTGTCACTGGTACTTAATAATAAGTACTACTAATTAAGAAGCAAAAGGCTCATTCATCAAAAAGCATTAAGACACATCCACTTATCTACCTCTTTTGTCAGTTTATACACCAGTTGGTAAAGAAGGGGCGAACACTCAACTCTGAGAGTATAATTGCCTGAAAAATAAATAATAAAGACACATTATTTCATAACTATACATGACATTCCATACTTAAAACACAGGGAATCCAGGACGGATGATCCCTTCAGGACCAGTGGTGTGAGTGGCGATACTGGGAGGGTAGAGGGAGAGTGGGTTGGAAAGAGGGAACCGATGACAAGGAGCTACATGTGACCTCCTCCCTGGGGGACGGACAACAGAAAAGTGGGTGAAGGGAGACGTCGGACAGGGCAAGATATGACAAAATAATAATTTATAAATTATCAAGGGCTCATGAGGGAGGGAGGAGAAAAATGAGGACCTGATGCCGGGGGCTTAAGTGGAGAGCAAATGTTTTGAGAATGATGAGGGCAATGAATGTACAAATGTGCTTTACACAATTGATGTATGTGTGGAATGTGATGAGTCGTATGAGCCCCTAATAAAACGATTTAAAAAAAGAGCGATTCCATACTTATAAATGTGACTTCACTTTGTAATTATAAACAAACTGTAATATAGACTTTGGTCTTATGCCCTAACTCCAAGGACATACACGGGGAGTAACTAGTCCTTCAGGAGGAAAGGTTGCAGCACACACTTTAGCCAGAAGAAGGCGGTCATTGACTACTAGGGTAGCAGTTCCCACCAATCCGAAGAGTTCTACCCAAGGCAGCATGGCTTAGGGGAGTGCTGGCAAAGAACTCGATAAGACTATAGCAGGAGTATATTACTCATCCGTTCAATTCAATACTACATATCAAGGCAGTAGACTGAAATGGTCAGTAGCCAGCATGTATTCTGATACTTATCTAGAAATAATCAAATGCAATGAAAGTCTAGAACCATGATCATTATATCAGGTGCAAGAGGAGGAGGAAGTTTGTTCAATTTTTCCCCAATAAACACAGGATATATTTTCTATGGGACTAGAGATCTTTAGACAAAAGAACTTACTATGTCCATAGGAAGAATATTAGTAATACTAAAAGTTTTAAGATAGGAGAATTCAAAAGAAATTAGTATGCATAGTTTAGCTAAACAGCAGATAATCTAGTGACTTTTGCTGTAGTGAAATGGAAAAGGAAGATGGAACTGAAGTATCTCTTCTACGATAGTTAGCAAGTTGGAATTTATAGGTTTAAAAGATGGCACATTGTCTAAAAGCATCTGAAATAAAATTTACCTTCTATAGATGAATCTGAGTTGATATAAGCAATGCTTCTCTCCTGAAGTGTTTTTGCATTTTCCTTGAATTGAAACAAGTAGTTACTTTATTCATATTATTAATATTTGTAGAAATTTAAACAAGTAAATTAATGTGGTGAAAAAGTAGTATACAAATATCTTTATGAATCAAATACCCCTCATCATAATCATCAATTTATAAGAAAACGCTAATAACTGGTTAGCTAAGTAATAAAACATTATGCAATTAAAACATAATAAAACAAAATGAATACTGTATAGTCGGAGTAACTGTAGTAATAGGAGGGTACCTAGAGACGCAACTATTTTCAAAGTCTCACTCCCTGAAATCCGTCTTGCTGAAAGATAAAGACCTAAACATCTGTATTTCCCAACAAGTCTCTGGTGACATATAAAAGATTACAGATTGAAGTTTGATATTTATTTAGGTGGTGGTGGTTTTTTTTGCATTAGTATTTACATTTATTTCACATATGCAATTTACACACTCCTTAATGAACACAGTTGGAATGCAAACACATACACAATTGCCATGAGAAGCGTTCTCAGATGAAGTCACTGGCAGTAGTGTGGCAGGCACGCATCGAAGACGGGAGCGTGTGAGGCAGTGGAGGAATAGGCTGTAACCAGTGGCATTTGTCGTTTTCTCAAAAGAAAACACTCAGGAGCACCACCAGAACCACACTTAAACAAACAAAACCCCCAACTGCTATTGTGGAAGTTATCCTACGTTCGACGAATTATGCAAGGTGCTTCAAAAGAGTTTGTGGGAAAATGCCATTATCTTTTCATTCCAATTTTCCATGAACTTTTTGATGTCCCTCAAACAGGACATGACCAAGACAGGCAGTACTTTGGCCAACATCTGCTTACGTCCGCTGAAAATCTGCATAAACACAGACAAAAGGAAATGGACCCAACGGCCTATGAACGCCTCCTTTACACTTGCCACACTCTGCCTCGTTTCATTTCATGTTTGCAGAAGATGCGCATGCGTTTGGAAACCAAAGTCATGTCAAGTTATTCTTGAAAGCCTGGCTGTGTCTTTGGTAGGCTAATACTTTTTCAGCATTATTATTCATCACATGCATGCATATCGATTTTTTTGTATCTTTCTATATAATCCATGGTGGCTAGAGAGGACAGAGTGGGAAACACTACAGTAGAGTCCTCAAATCTCTAGGTCCTTACAGCCCCATCTATGTCAAAGACACCATGAGTCAGTGGGTGCACATTCCCCCTCAGTGAACAGTGGCTTGCTTTTAATACTCAAAAGGCCTGGGATTTTATTTTGCAGCTGGATATATCGTATTTGTTCCAGTCGGTATACTTATTTACCTACCATTACATTTTTCTTCTAAGATGGCATCAATAATATACAAGATATACAGAGAGTGCCAGATGTTTCTATTTAAAAGTTATGCAAAAACTGCCACAATCATGCTCAAAGTGTCTAAGTAACCAAATGGTGGCAAATGGGCTTTCTATATCCACATTGCACATCAAGGAAGGGAAACAGAAAGGAACTTGTGCCCAGTTATGAACAGAGCACATCACAAAGAATAGAAAGAATGTGCTGGAATTAACCAGCAAGGTTCTTTTAGCCAGTGTGCTTCATGGTCTCATTAAAATGTCACTAACCACTTATCCCTAAGCATCAGATTGTCTTTATATGAAGTTTGATATTTATTGGTAGTAGAGACCCAAGTAAATTTTTCATTTTAAAAAGTGAAAAATGGAAATTTCAATTTATTCATATTTTAAACAGATAAAAACTAGAAGGGAAGAAAGAGGCATGGATTGAGGAAAAAATAAGACAATCACTCTCTCCCTCATTCACAAATACACACACAAATACACAAATTCAAGAAAGATAGAGAATACTAATGTAGTCACACAGATAGAAAAATGTTGAGAGACGCCTTCACCTTTCTTTCTTCAGAGTGTTAACTTGCCAGTTACATGCTAGCATAAAAACAATGAAAACTGTGTATGGTTATGATAAGGATTCTCATTTGTCTCCTTGAAACTGCTCACTGTAAATATGGAAGCTACCATTATTACAGACTTAAAATAGAAATGAAGATCCCTGTACCTATTTAAAGAATGTAAAATATTGCTGTAGAGAATCAACAACCAGGTAGAAAACATCAAATTTTGAGTATTGAAATTGTCTTTTAACTCACATGTATTATATCAAGGAAAAATTTATTTTGTATTCAATTTCTTCCATATTTAGTTTAAGCTACTGAGTTTATAGAAATAGATAAACATATATATATGCATGTATTCATAAGAAATTATGTATTTCCAAGGAGCGCTGGTGGTATAGTGGTCATACATTGGGCTGCTAACCAAAAAAGGTCAGCAGTTTGAAACCATCAGCTGCATCGCGTCGAGGGAGAAAGTGGGAACTTTCTACTCCTGTGCAGAGTTATGGTCTCAGAAAGGCATAGGGATGGTTCTACCCTGTCCTGGATGGCTGCTATGAGCAGGCATTGACTCAGTGGCAGTGAGTTTGGTTTTGCTTGGGTATACATTTCCAAAGGCAGATAACCTTAATTAATGCAATGTAATTCAAATGAAACTCCAATTTGCACACACATATTTCTAACATCAATGTAATAATTAAAAGTCTGATTCTCCTGGCATCAACACAAATGACACTGGGAAAGTAAATGTGTGGTTTTATAACCTCATTTTTTGGCCTCAGATTATTTTAATTATTTTAAGTCACACAATAGGAGCTCAACAAGGGGTAAACCATTTAAGAAATGACACACAATGGCAATATATGTATGTCATGTTTTTAAACAATTTTATTAAAAAGGATAAGAATAAATGACAGCAGAAAGTAAGAGAAGTACTAAGTGCTTATCCAGTGTACCCGCTTTTTTAAAAAGGTAATGATTTTACTTTATCTTTAAGAAATTACAAATATTTGAGAGGTTAAAATAAGAAAATGAAAGGAGCTTAAGAAAGACACTTAAAATGTTAAGAGCTAATAAATGAAAATCAATCATCTAAATAAAGAAAAACACAAACTCTTGGAACTATAATGTAAGTCAATTAAACTGCACCGAATACACACATTTGTGTGTGCAAATGGTAAAATATGCTTATAGTTATCATTTTACATGGAATCTGTAATCATGGAATTATCTTATATCATTATTTTAATAGAACATCTTATGTTTCCTTTTTTTTCACAATTGACAAGTTTGTGTTCAAGGTACAGTTCTAGGTGCATAAAGAGACATTGGTTAATCCTGCTTAAGAAAATCAAACACCTAATAATCAATTTTTTAAAGTCATCAAGGAGACAGGACCTAACCACAGAGAATCAGCCAGCCAGCACCGATGTTCCGTGGTAAAACGCCCTGCAGGGAAACCTGGACACTATAGGAAGGCAAGTCCTGACTGGTGAAGCAAGGGAGCTGGACGTGCTCATTGGCCAGACGCAATGAACTCACTGCGGCACTGGGAGAACGTGTAGATGTACTGTGTCGACTGGACAGATGTGGTTTGGCAGCTGTGCTACAACATGAGTCACCAACCCGAGGGCAAGTTATCTGAGAACTCTAAGCAGTCTCCTCAGGTTTGATCTGCCGGCATCTTTTCCTAGTGTCCCTCCACCCCACCCCCCCGCCCCCGCAAAGCACAGTGAAGGTAATTAACCAGTCCCTTAGTCCGACAGTCTCATCTCAACTTCTTTCCTTCAAACCTTCTTATAAAAGGGAAATCATTTTGAGCTCTCCGGAAATGGATCTTAGATGGTTTGGGAGGCTGAGTGGTGTAAAATAGCAGTGTGGAAATTCCTTTCCTCTTCTTGCACCGATTTCGTTTTAAACTGGATTTCACTTCCACTTTCCTCCCCCTTCTCCCATCGGTGCCCTCACAGGCCCAGACAGACATCCTGGCATCCAGGGCCTCTAGGCCTTGGTGTGCAGCAGCATTACCCAGCACAGGATATCCTGGCTTTTGTCCTCCACAAGTTCCCCCTTCACCACCAGCCTTCTGGAGGGGAATTCACTCTGCATGGGGAGTTTATTCAGGTAGCTGGAGCTCTTTCCTTTTTGGACAGGGCAGCCGATGCCACTCTTGCGACCATCAGACACAGGACTGGAAATCGGGAAAGCCCAGCACAAGGCCATGCGCCGTGGCTGTAAGACTGTAAGACTGTCCTTTGATCAGCTGGCATGACTGGTTGGGGCATGGGCTCACATTCACCTCCTTTATAGCTCCAACCATAAACCAACAGTCCTTAAAACTCACCGCTCAGCTAATGAAGCAGTATTGAGCACCAGAAGCAGGAATGGGGTGGCCAGGAAATGCATCGTGGCCAAGGAAGGTCTTTTCTTAAATGGAAGAACTCCAAGGAAAGTGAAAATGAACTTCAAGGATCCACATTTTACACAAGTTGATTCCCATGTCAAAACAGCTTGTTACTCAGATTTAAGGAACTGTAATACCCTTGAACTTAAAGGCTGAAAAGAATCAGATGACTGCTATCCCAAGGTTGCAGAGCACTGGACTTTGGTTCATATCTCTTGTTTGGAGGTTACCCACCGAACGGAAGTTTGGGACTACCATATCACTGCTATTCTCAGGCTCTCTGTGCCCTTTTTTTCAAATAGCTTGTCTTAGTCTAGCAAGCACAGCTCTGCCTTTTTGAAAGTTTTGCCCTATCTCCAACCCTCACTATTTGCATAAGAAGAATCTCATCACTTGACTGATTTGTAAAAACCAAACTTCAAGCTCACTGTTACTGAGTCAATTATGATGCATAGTGACCCTGTAGGACAGGTAGAGCTGCCCGTCAGGATGTCTGAGACTGCAGCTCTGAAGGTGGAAGAGAAAGCTTCATCTTGTTCTCATGGAGTGGCTTGTGGTTTTCAACTGCCGACCTTGAGAATCGCTCAGCATGCAACCACTATACCACCAGAGCTCCTTTCGATTTATACAGGCCAACAATCCACGTATTTTAGTCCAAAAATCTGTCCTATACATGCATACTTTGCTTTTCTAAATAGTATTTCAAAGTTTGTAGCTTGGCTAAATTATAGATACTATCAAAAGAGTTATGATATGCCCCATGGAGATGATTTAGAATGTTCCCAAATAAAAGGATAATGATGGCGTTAAATTGGACCAGGGACATAAATAAACCATAAATACATGAATTGATTTTGAGCTCACACTTAATCATGGCACTAACAATTCATTTATGTTTGCCCTCATAAAGAAATCACTGAAGATATAGTACTATAGCAAAGTGTTGAGAAGAAATTCGACGGTTCCCAGCTATCAGAAAAAACATTTATGGTCTTAAAAGTTGATCATAAAACAAACCACCCAGCAACAAGGGAACAAGTGATGTAAAATCAATGGAGAGGAGGGCATATGATGCCTGGTAGGGCTTGATCAACGGCAATGTAACCTAGAGGAATTACTGAAACCAGAATGAAGGCCGAACATGACAGGTGGACAAGAGGAAAGTAAAAGGAAATAGAGTAAATAACTAGGAGGCAAATGGGCATTTATAGAGGTCTAAATATAGGCATGTACATATGTAAATATAGTTATATATAACGATAGGGAAATAGATCTATGTACATATATTTATATGTTAAGAATTAAGGTAGCAGATGGACATTGGTCCTCTACTCAAGCACTCCCTCAAAGCAAGAACACTTTGTTCCAATAACCTGGCATTCCGTGATGCTAACTTTCCCAACATGATTGCTAAAGACAAAAGCGGGTGCATAAGCAAATGGGGTGAAGAAAGCTGATGGTGCCCGGCTATCAAAAGATATAGCACCTGGGGTCTTAAAGGCTTGAAGATAAACAAGTGGCCATCCAACTGAGAAGTAACAAAGTACACATGGAAGAAGCACACCAGCCTATGTGATCATGAGGTGTTGGTGGGATCAGGTATCAGGTACCAAAGACCCAGAACAAAAAAGCATATCAATGTGAATGAGGGGGAGCATGGAGTGGAGACTCAAAGCCCATCTGTAGACAAATGGACACTCCCCTACAGAGGGGTCACAGGGAAGAAATGAGCCAGGCAGGGTGCTGTATAGCATTGTTGAAACATACAACTTTCCTCTAGTCCTTTAATGCTTCCTCCCCTCACCTCCCATCGTGACCCCAATTCTACCTTACAAATCTGGCTAAACAAGAGCATGTACACGGTACCAGAGCATGTACACGGGTACAGATAAGAGCTGGAAACACAGGAAATCCAGGACATATAAATGCCTCAGGACCACTAATGAGAGAAGCAATACCAGGAGGGGAAGAGGAAGGTGGGGGAGAAAGGGGGAACTGATCACAATGATCTACATATAATCCATTCCCAGGGGTACGGACAACAGAAAAGTGGGTGTAGGGAGATATCAGTCAGTTTGAGACATGAAAAAATAATAACAATATATAAATTATCAAGGGTTCATGAGAGAGGGTGGGAGAGGGAGAAGGAAAACTGAGGAGCTGATACAAGGGCTCAAGTAGAAAGAAAATGTTTTGAGAATGATGATGGCAACAAATGTACAAATGTGCTTGACACAATGGATGGATGGATGGATTGTGATAAGAGCTGTACGAGCCGCCAATAAAATGATTTAAAACAAAGAAATAAACTAAGTGAGGTGACAGCTAAGTCAAACTGAAGACATACACTGGCCTATGTGATCCAAGGATCAAAAACAATAAAGGAGCTCTATTGGCGTCCTGGCTAAGCCCTGAGCTGCTCACTGCAAGGTCACAAGTTTGGTATTACCAGCCGTCCCATGGGACAAAGTACTTTCTACTCCTGTAAACAGTTACAGTTTCCAAAACTCACTGGGGCAGTTCTACCCTGTCCAAGAGGGTCGCTGTGAGTTGCATCAACCTGATGCCAGTGAATTTGGTCTCGTTTAGTTTTTGAAGGAGGGAACAGCATTAGTACATTCTAAGCACCCAGTTTGCAGAAGGTGATGGTGGGCAGTGAAATCGGGGTCCCCACTTGAAATAATCCTCTGTGAATCTCTTCTAACCATTAACCAGGCATGTGAATAGCCTTGCTATAAGAGAGAATGAATTGGAAAGGGGACTAATGGAGATGTAGTTAGGTTAAAATTCAACACTATCATTTATTGTCCCTTTTTACCCATTTAAATTTGTTTGTTTTTATAAATAATAAACAATTATCATCATAATAGAAATATCTGAATAAAATAATAACAGAAAATATCTGTTAACTTTTCAGTGCAAGTTTTTCAATGTCTTATTTGGTTATTATTGTTGGGTTTGTTTTTTGCTTTTTGTTTCATTTATCTGTTTTCCTTGATAAGAAATCCACAATAGATAAATAAAGATATAGAGACAGTAACTGGATTAATAGTTGGGTTTCTGGCAGGGAAGCTTGGTGGGAAATGGAGAGCTAATAATAATGAGAATAACAAAGAAGAAAATGTTCTAAAATTTATTTTTTAAATTGTGGTGATGATTCCAACAACTCTTTTTAATATGTTTAAATTTTGAGTTATATGATTTGTGGAATACATATCAATAAAATTCTTAGAAAACATCTTGCTACTTTTGATTATTTTCTGGATTATTTCTTTTTACTATTGTTCATAAAACAAATACAAATAGAGAAAAAGTATTTTGAAAATAATGAATATTTTGAAGTCTACTAATTAAGAGATTATTCTGTTTTGCTAATTAATATGAAAGTAAAAATGAAGTGAACCATTGGTATTTGTTTGTGGCCATCCTGATGTACATACATTTGATCCCTGTTGGCAAAGAACATAGGAATAATCTTCTTTTACTTACCTCTGCCCATTCTGTAGAACCTAGAAGTCCAAATTCTTCTGCATCCCAGCTAGCAAAAATGATAGTTCTTCTAGGTCTCCAGCCTGTAATCATGGTTTACAGACATCATTAATTATATCTGCCTCCACATGAAGAAAAAAAAGGAAATTACTTTCTGGCAGCATCTACCAATGAATATTACTTACCTCGACTCATCAGTTTTCCAAAACTCTGGACAACTTCTTGCAAAACAGCAGCTCCACTGGTGGGGTCAATGCCTCCAAGTACCCAGGCATCCCGATGACCTCCCACAATAACATACCTATCTGGAAAAGAATGCGTTTAAATGTTCAAAGTACGTGTTTAAAAGAACTACTATTTTGAACACAATATTAAGAGCTGTAGCTTATTATTTTAAACTAATCTTCCTCTTGCTGTGCTTTCCTCCATAGAGAAAATGCACACTTAAAATGTAGAATCTTCTTTAGTGTAGTACAGTTGCCCCCCACCACCACCACCAATTTACTAGTTTATGTTAGCTGGGGCTGGGGGAGCAAAGGTCACTGTTGACTCAAATTGATCTTTATCTGACTCCTTTCATTTTTGCAGAAAGAGAATAAAAAACAAAACCACTGACTCACCAGGCTCCAAAGACCCTCTGATAGTTCCAATTACATTGTAAATCCTTGTAATTTTGTTGATATTATGAACATGCATTCTAATCTTCCTAGAATTTAAAGGTAAGTAAATTATTTCTCAAGGAAGAATTTTATCTAGACATTTTCTTCCAACTTTTTCCAATAAAAATTTTCAAAAGTACAGGCAACACTGTACAAGGGGGCAATAAATTCCCTAGATCCACCATGTAAATCGTATGCCGTTTGCAAATAAGTTGAAGACATCATAATACTTTAGTCCTATATTCTTGAATATGCATATTGAAGTAAAACTTTTTAAACTGATGGCTAATATTTCTTATTCCTCCTATCTCACAGCTATATTGTGATATTAATTTAAAGTTCAAAATATTATATAAGTCAAAATAGTATTAGGCTTATGAGTTCATTCTAAAAAAATTTAAACACACCCGGCTTAATGACAAAAACAAGGAAAATTGATTTCTATCTGTTGGATGAAAAAGTATAAACAAATTCTTTTAAAGTTGACTTGGTATTTACATCCATTCTGGACACATTAACTATCTTCAAGTTAAGAAAAAAGATACACTTTCAGACAACGTTAAACTTCTTTTTCAGGAAGAAAAGAATTAAGATCTTTTATTGGGGGGAGGGTTGAGGAAGTAAAAAACCCCAGTTGCTTCTAATTAAAAAAAAATCATAATAATGGACACCCTAGTAAGTCATTAAAATCTATATATTAAGCACAGTTTCTCCTCAAAGCATATTTTATTCAACTAAAGGTGCATTTAGAGGGGTAAACCTCCAATCCATGAGTGAAATCTTTCATTGTAAGTCATTAGTGAGTTCATTTTTGCTACTAAGTGGTAAAGATTAGCAATAAATAACAATAATATTGCTTCTGAAAATATGGGCCTAAACCTATGATTATTATTATTATTAAAATTACATCATCATGTGAAAAAATTAAATAAGCAATAATGTAAAACACAAGGAAGGAGAAAATTATCTATTTTAATAAAAATGTTAAAATAAACATGGGCTATTTGTTTAGATTTTCAAAATGTTATCTATATCCTTTTTTTTTAATCGTTTTATTAGGGGCTCATACAACTCTTATCACAATCCATACATACATCAATTGTGTAAAGCACATTTGTACATTCATTGCCC